GTTCTGCAGTTCAGCAGTTCAAATCTCACCGGCTCAAGGTTGACTCAGCCTTCCATCCTTCCGAGGTGGGTGAAATGAGGACCCAGACTGTTGTTGGGGGCAATATGCTGACTCTGTAAACCGCTTAGAGAGGGCTGAAAGCCCTATGAAGCGGTATATAAGTCTAACTGCTATTGCTATTGCTATAATGTACTACCTCCTTGTCCATTACTGAATAGCACTTAGTAGTAAACCATCTTTTCTGAAGTCCAAGTGAAATTTCCTTTCTTACAAGATAAGACAGAAAGAGAACAAACGCAAAGCATACGAGGCCATCAAGAGAGTCAAGGAATTGCAATGGAAATGGCCTGGTCACATAGCAAGAAGAACTGAAGGCAGGTGGACCAAGGCAGCCATAGAATGGATCCCACTTGATAAAAAGCATCCACAAGAGAGACCTAAAACAAGATGGATGGAGGACACCAACAAGTATTGCGAGCCCAATTACAAAAGAAAGCTCAGGACTGTATTGGTTGGAAACAACGGAAGAGGCCTTCATCCTGCAATGGATAGACAATGGCTAAAAGGATCATGTCGAATAAGCCATTGTTTCTTTTCCTGCCTTTTGGAATCAAGAAAACAACTGTCCACATCTTGCTTCACTGAGACTGTTGAGAGGTATAGACTTAAAGCCTCCCCCTACCCCCAACAAATGTCTTCACTCCCTTGCTAAACCCCAGACTGAAATAATGGGCCACCCATTGCCTACAGCTTTTAAAGGATTAAGTCTTCCTGATGCAAAGGGTTTCTCCTTATGGAATACAGCTCTTCTTCTGGGGAAGGAGAAAATTTTGAATTCTTGAACAGAACTCTAGAACAGCAGGTTTTAGAATGAGCCTCCTTTACACCCTATAATTAATACAGACAAGTCTTAACTCATTTATCCACTAATTATGCAACTGTGTTGGAAAGCTGAACACCTACTATGAAGTATTATTAGTGGATAAATTAGTGGATAAACATGTACTCTTTGTATTTTAAAAAAGTAAACAACCCAGTAAGACTGCCTCCTGAAAACAAACTAATTATTCACAAAAGAGTCTTTGAAGCTATTTCAAAGCCGTAACACCTATAGCCAAAATCCCTTGAAAAAATGAGCTTGCTATGTATTCAATTGCACTCTCCAACAAATAATCCTCAACCAAGATATTGTTGTGCTGATTAAATGGACACACCTTCAGTTCATCTTACAAGCAAACTAAAATTCTAATCTTTCTCATGAATTGCTAAATTCATTCCCCCCAGAATATTACAGAATTTGGAATTAGAGTCAGTTTGGCCACATTCAGAACCAGACCCAAATTGTGGCATAACTAGCATATAACCACATAGTACAGAAGTACTATGTCCCCAAACTGAACAGAAACATTTCAAAGGAAATTTAATGTAATCATTAATCATAATTACATGTTATCATCAAATAATGATGGCAACTGGGGCATTATGTGATCGCCATTTGCAACCTTCTGATGGCTTCCCCACTCAATTTATGGCAAATTGAGATCACATATGAGGTGGGATATTCCATAAGGATACAAGGAGTCGTCACAATTACCTTTTGTTCAATTGCTGAATAACTGTTGGTCATTAAAAACAGAGCCACCTATAGTTCACTTTTCCTATATTGTTTTTCTTGGCATTATATAATTCCAGAAAATCTACAATAATTTACAGGCTAGTCACTAGATTCCAGATAGTACTTCAAAAGTATACAAGAAGCATGTTTTATGCACAAAAAGCAGCATAACTTAAAATATGACCATTTCAAACAATACAAGACAATCTATTATACAACGTGCACTGTAGAGACTAAAAGAATAAACATGGGTGCAAATATTACTCTACAAGAATAGTAGAATATCCTTGCAAGATTACACCTTTGAGATAGTTATTCCAATAAAATAAGCAATTTTATATCAACATCAACAACAAAAAGTTAAATGTCTTTGCTGGGATACTCTTTTTACAGAATACATGGAATGTATCAGCTGGAAAAAGTTCATCCACTAGTTTGCAAGGACTCTTTGATCCGTCTCACATGCGTTATCAAACCACTTTTCTGGGGTCTCTATGTATTTGGTTTTTCCTATTCAGATGCAAGGCCCCACACTTTACACAGGTGAAAGTGGACTGGCCGTAATGTTCAAACATTTGTAAGGTAATTTGAATTGTGATTTTGTCCTTTAAGGCATTAGCCAATTTCCCTACATTAGTGTTATTTAACAAATTTTATAAACCTCTCTTCTACTTCAACATTACTAACCTAAATGCCATGGGGAAAACCCCCCACTATCAGTTGTGACAAAGATTACTGAGTATAGTGATGAATCTACTGCACAAGATCTAAAACTCCTCAACAAACGCACCTCAGCACTCCTACCTTCCGAGAATATTAAAACCACACACTGGCAGTACAGCCATCTGCTAACCAAATGTAGATTACGACAAGTTGCAACACTTGGCCAAGTATTTTGCAGGACAGTTAATCTTGTCTTTGCTTTCTTTACATCCGATTTTGAGTATGTATCCAAGGTGTACCTGTTCTGTTCATTCAGTATGTCAAGCATCAGCAATATTCAGGTGGTTACTGAACACAAAACAAAAGTACTGCCTTCATTGTGCTGAGGACCTTGCAGCCTAATTCGACTTCATGGGCCAGAGTTCTACATGGAAGAAACAGATGTGATCAGAGTTCGTATTCTGCTGTATCCCATGGGCAGCTTACAACAGTTGTTTGGTATTGCTTAGAGAAGACTCAACATTCACATGCAACATTTTAATCCACATCTGTCAAAGTGGCATCTTGAGATGTAGCCCTAATCTGGTAAAGCACAGAGAATGTAGGATGAAAAACAGGCATTCCAAAGAAGCCGATTGTAAAAGCTGTAAGTTTGATTTTGGATTCCCTTCAATTGGCATGCAAGATAATGGATAATATTAGGGCAAAGGTAACACCCCCCGAGCTACTTTGATCAGTAAGAACAGAAAAAGCTCATACACCAAGAGAGATCCTCTCTAAGAAAAAAAGGTACAAAAACGGCCTCAAACTCCATTTTTCAGCAGACAGAATCCATACTTTAAAATCCAGCCTTGACCGGACAACAGTTAAGAAATAAAAACTGTTGAGCGGTCGGTCCAAAGTTCAGAAACTGCAGAAACGCCACTTCAGGCGGCAGCAAAACCTCCCCGCAGAAAAGAGGCCCCTGCATCGCTTTCACAGGAACCGTTTCTCCAGACGAACAAGCGGCTTCACTGCCGCCCTGCAGGGCGCTTTCCCGGCCCCCCTTCCGTGAAAGGCGGGACCTGCGGGCTGCAGACCGAGTGGGCTCCGGGACCTCCCGAAAGTCCGGGGAAAGAAGGCGCCTCCCCCGACCCGGCCTTTCCGCCGCGGCCTCCGGGAACCTCCGCTGGGACGGGCTGAAGAGGTTGCGCCGCTGCCAAGAGAGCCGGGTTTTCCCCGGCGCGCTTCCTCGCCTCCCCTCCCCGCCTCCCCTCAGCCGCCGCCGCCGTCGCGATCCCGGACGCCTTGCCCTACCCGCAGGAGCCGGCCGTACCCCTTGGCGCCAGCCCGCCCGGACTTTCGGGAGGGAGGAGGGAGGCCTGGCCTCCGGCGCAGAGGGCTAAGCGAGCGAGCGGCTTCTGGGCAGCCACGGAGACCCCCCTCCGCCTGTCCAGGGAGCTCCGGCGGCCGAGCCGCACCGGGAACGCCGGCGGCCGCCGAGAACAACCCCGTCCGCGCTTCCCCGCTCACCCCTCCGAGGCCGCTCCCGGCGGGCGAGGCCTCCGGCTTCCTCAGACGCGACTTGAGGCTCTTCATGGTGCCGGTACCGGAGCCGCCGCCGCCCGGCGGGACGGAGCACCACTTTCCTCAGCCGCGCGGGAGGAGCGCAGGCGCCGTGTCAGACAGCCCCGGCCAATCGGGCCGCGAGGGGGGCGGGACTTCCTTGTCTGGTCTCTGGGCGGAGCCGGCGGGGCCTTCGAAGGGCCGCTCCCTCCCTCCTCCCTCTCTCTCTCTCCTTCCCTCCCCGCGAGCGGTCCTTGGGGAAAACGGGGCTGGGAAGCGCCTCCTCGGCCTCGTACAACGGCAAAGAGCCCAGGGATTCTCCCAGCTCCTAAACCGGAAGCCGGCAGGATGAGGAGCGACCAAGCGGGGGGGGGGTCCGGAGCGCGACCGGAAGGGCCTGCTTGCCGAGTCCCACCTGCTGACACTAATAGGGGGGACCTGGAGCTCCCCGCTCCTCTCACGGCTGGTGAGACGGGGAGAATCAGCCTGCGAGTGGTGGCCTTGCAGTTCCATGCGCGGAAGGGCTTGTGGCAACCGACACCCTAATTTCCACAGGGAACTATTGGAGCTCACAGAGCAGCCTCATGTGCCAACGGCTTGGTCTCCTCGTCCAATTGCAGCTGCAGGGTTTTCTTCAAGGGAAGCCCGTCTACCAGCCTTGCAGTCATCCTCGGTGAAGCTGGCCAACGCGTGCTTGCCCATGAACGCTGCCTCCCAATCTATCAAAAGGAGCAATCGGCACACCTAGTGAGTCTGCAGAAGTCCTCTTGACCGCAGCTACCATGTGTTAATGGAACAGGAGTTCAGGGGGGGCTCCCCAGTTTGCTTGCTGGTTCTGTTAGCGATAATGCCAATCCAAACTATGGGTGGAAAGTCATTAGATCCAGGGAATGCTAAAGCCTAAAGTCTTCTCTGCAATCAGCACCACCTGGAACTGACTCCAAAGGAAAAAAGATAACAGCACAGCACCACGTCTCCATTCTTAACTCCCAAACCTGGCCCAGGAAGATATCATGGTTAAGGATATCAAGGGTCATTGCGAGATCAAGGAGGGCCAGGATAGAGAGGCCAAACCCAGCTCCTACCAGAGGTCAATACATGTGAGATCAATGCTGCTTGAGGCCCATATCCAGACCTGACGCCCGACCAAAGGGTTCTGAATAATCTGCTTCTTCCAGGGTTCTCTAAATGGCAGTGCAGCCACTTTTTCAACATCCTTCCCAAAAAGGAAAAATTGGAGACAGGACAGACATTCTCTAATGTGGTGGATCCAATCATGTCTTCTTGCAGAAGGAGTAAATCACCACCTACTTAACCAATGGTGACATCTCCCTCTGCATGAACATCATTGGGATCAGTGGATGGCATCTCTGGGTGTTTCAACTGAAGCCTGCATAAAAATATTTATTGCCCATGAGGTGTCATGAGAACCCATTCCATCATTTTTACCTGTGGCTGTGCTGGACCAATGCACCAGAGTTCTGGTTTTATGATGCCTTTGATTAAAACTTACTAACATCTGCTAGAGTCATTTTTGATCCATAGAGATAAGTTGTTTTATAGTGAGTTCAGATAAATCACCAGATCTGTATCAAGACTGATTCTCACTTTTACCTACATTTTTCCTTCACTTGTAGCTTGACAATAACAGATTGGGGGTGGGGCAGTTTTTAGAAGTTAATAAGTTTCTGTTGTGGTCCATCAGACTCAGACGATGAGGTTGGGGAGGAACATGGGCCAGTTCTGGAGCCTGGGGAAGGCTCTGATGGATGCTCTGTGTCAGACACAGAGATAGAGCCAGGGCCATCTGACATTTCCCAGCCACCGGAGAGGGGGCTGTCTTTAGAGGCTTATATGAGGGAGAACAGCTGGGGCATGTTCCAGATAGATGTATGTGCAGAGCAGTTAGGAGAGGTGAACAACAGAGGACAAGGAGTCAACTCGGGAAGCAAAGCACATGTGGGTGTTGAATGGCTCCTTCCTGCCTGGGGAATAAATAGAAGGAAAGGGGAATGGTTATCGTAGGAGGCAATAGTTTGTATTTCTGAAGATTTGTTCATTGTGTTTTGTGCCAGAGACTCCTTGCCAGAACTTAATTTGCAGCCTTTCGGCTGGGAGCTCATAGCAATTATCCCAAGTAACTGATAAGGTATGAAACTACAATTAATTCCTTGAAGGACTATTGCCTGGATTTTTAGGTGGGTGAATGCAATTAATTCACAAGAGGTAAATAAAGGGTTTTTTCCATGATGAGTCTATTTCTTGCTTCTGCTAAGGCTGGGTCAGAACAGTTCCCATTTGAGGTGTGGACAGACCACAAGAACCTAAAGACATTAAACACCCCAAGGAAGCTATCCGCTAAGCAGGTCTGATGGGCTCAGTATTTTAACAGCTTCAATTAGGGGGGGAGGGTTTCTTAGCAGATGCCCTCTATTATATGCTCCAGTACAGAAATGCCCAAGAGGAAGTAGTAAAAGTCATCATCCCATTCAGGCAGCTCACAGCACCAGTGCTTATGAGACAGCAGAGAATGGTCTGCTTGCAGTCAGGTAGAGACTCGATGCAGCTGCTAAAAGATGCCTTGGGGGAGAGGGAACAAGTGGTTCCAAAGACATAAGTGTGACTTGATGGTAAATAATGGCTTGGCATGGAAGGGGAGTAAGTTGTACATCCCAGCCAACACTAGTCCTGCAGGGGAGCCATGACACGAAAATCGTGCAGGGCATTTTGCCTCTGTGAAGACCATTTGGTAAAGAGACAGTTTTGGTGGCCAAAAATGAAAAAGGACATAGAAGCCTATGTGGCCAGTTGCCATGTGTGTGCCTCTATGAAGCACCTTCCTGGGAAGCTTCCAGGTTTGCTACAGTCAGTAGCCAACTCTGCTAACCCGTGAGAGAAGATATCCATGGACTTTATTGTGGAGTTGCCTGAGAGTGCTGGGAATACATTAATCTGGACTGTGATTGACGTGAAGCAAGCATACTTTGTGGCATGTCCAAAGAATCCCTCAGCCCATGTCCAAGCCAAGATGTTTGTGCAGCACATCTACAGACATGAAACAATAATTACAACACTTAATTCCTATTGGGGCTGCTGAGGGTACTTAGTATAAAACCATAACTAACCTTGCTATCTAACATCTGGAACAGCCACCCACCTGCTAAATGATAGCCCCTCCACCATACTAGATATCGTAACTTTCCTTTGAGATACCTGGAATCAAGAATCTTTTTGACCTCATAGTGCTCCTCTCCCTTGACTAGGATGGATGGAGGAGGTAGTTCTCTAACAGTCTAACTGATCTCAACCCAGGCTCCTGAAAAGGTTTGAATGAAATACTGGATGATCCCGTCTGAGGCTTTTCGGCAACTTTAGCTCCACTGTCACTGGATTTGCAATATGCTTGTAGCTTAGGAGTGAAATCAACATGAGGGATACACCATTTGATTACACCAATCTCACAAAGTCCTTGTGAAAAGGAATGGGTGTCACAGAACATACTATCATAGGGCTGGAAGGGCCCATGGTGTTGTTCTAGTCCAACTCCCTATTCATAGCAGGAGCCTCATTTAATCCTAATCAAATGGTTGTCCAGTCTATTTTTGAAAACCTATGGTGAAGGAGCACTCACAATTCTAGGAAGCAAACTATTCCACTGATTAATTGTTCTCATTTCCTTTTTACTTCTAGGTTGTATCTCTTTAACAAGTTTCCACCTGTTGCTGTTGACTTTACTCACTATTGAACTGCATCATTGGATAGATTGTTAGATAGATCTTGTCCCCAATGGCCACAGATTAAGATGATGTGGATTGTCTAAGAACAAATGATTGGCAACTTTAAAGAGAGTGGTTTAAAATAAGGAGAAAATTTCTAACAGAGAGTTATGAAGCAATGGAGCAGCTTATTTCTAATCACAGGGGCTTTCCAAGAAAAAAAACAATACCATTAGTCCAGAATGGTAGGGGAATTCCTGCTGTGAGCAGGGACTTGGACTTGAAGACCTCCAAGGTTTCCTCCAATTCTATAATTCAAAGAAATGTGGCCTTCATCAGGCAAAGGTTCAATTGGTAGGTGAGAGAAAAGAGCCAAAGACAGAACATATTATTGCTTGGTGTGGTATATGACCCCAATAGGATTTTTGCAAAATTTATCTCCACATACTCTGTGTGTTGTATACATTGAACTAATCCTCCATGCATAATTAAATTGATGCCTGATTTAACCATACACTTAAACATATGCACTGGATTTGTACAACACCATGGGTTAAAATATGATTATCCGATTTATGGTGTTGTGTGAATATAGCCTTTATCTCTCTGAGAAAGGCATGCTAGTAACGTTCTCTAGATAGGAGCACTTTCTTCAGCTGGGGAGTGGGGCAATCAGGGACCTATCCCAGATCAAGCAAATATTCACAGTGCGGGATCTTTTTTTTCTGCATGCCAGGATGGTCTTTCACATTAAGACAGTTTCCTGAGAAAAGCAAGTTAACCTTCTCCAAGCTGCAGAAGCACCAGCAGAAAAAGGGTTGAGCAGAAAGAAGAACTTTTATCCACCTGCCCTTCCTCTTTTTCAATTATTTTAGAAGTTGCAGCAGCTGACAAATAAGAATTAATTGGCTAGGAGCTGTTAAAATGCACTTGGAGTCATTAACCTGGCTCATTTATGGAGCCTGTCTGTCTTGCCTATGTGGTATCTGAGCCAGGTGATTTTAAAGCAAAGCCTTTTGCAGAGGTTGAGAAATGGTCTCATAAGGCAGCTGTCCTCCAGCTGGTGTCTCTAAGGCTATATTGACTGAAATTATGGGTGTTGCAGTCTGACAAGCCTGAGGCTTTCATGTCGAGGCAGGCTATTCTAAAGGTCGGGACAACAGGTACTGAGAGAAGCAAGGGACTCTGGGAAAAAGAGCACTTTGCCAGTGGTGGACCATCTCTTAATCTCAGTCTGGACTTCTAGATGGACTCCAATATGATCTAAGGATTTGCTCAGATATAAATGTTTTTACATCCAACTATTAATGTCTTTAAAGCTGGGTAACAGACTAGAAACCGACTGGGAGCTACTGAGCTGACAAAAAGGCCCAGTTAGTCACCAATTGCTTTCTTATAGGCCAGGTGAGATTCCAGACCATCTTAGAATTTGACACAAAAACAGGAGGCAATATTAACAGGAGGGACAATTGAATTTAAATAGAGAGGGACAATACATACTTGATAGAAAGCTTCCTTGAGTGAATATAGGTTTTAGTCCATTTATTTATTTATTTAGAAAATTAGAAAATAATTTGTGACCTTAAGCAAACAGCTCTGGTGACCAAAACAAAAGCTACATCAAGAGCATGCCAAACATGCACCCCATGAGGGGGGGGACAGTATTGCGAAGCAGGTCCATGGTGATCATGAGCTCTCAAACCACCTCTGCTCTGGGGCCACAGAAGGCAGGTAGAAGTGTGCCAGAATGATAAGCCAGGGAAACTCCGTGTCAAGGAGCCCACAGACAATGAGCACAAGCAGGGAAGCCAGTGTGCCGCAGAGAGAGTGTAGCAGTAATCCCAACTGATTATGGAACAGTTTCATGAATGGCTTTCATCATCATCACCTTAGCCATTGTCTATCCATGGCAGAATGAAGGCCTCTTCCACTGTTTCCAACCAATACAGTCCTGAGCTTTCTTTTGCAATTGGGCCCACAATACTCGTTGGTGTCCTCAATCCATCTTGTTTTAGGCGGAGGTAGTATTCAACCGGTTCGGACCAGTTCAGGCGAACCAGAAGCAGAAATTTGACCTGGCCCCTGCCAGCCAAGTCGCCGGTCACCCACTCTCTCCACCCGCCTGCTCACCGCTTGCCTTCCTCACCTGCTTGCCCCACCCAGTCAGTCCTCACCTCCTATGGGGCACACTGGGTCCTCGCTTGTCCATACGCAGTGTCTTTGCTCTGCAGTTTGCCTTTCTAAGCTGCCTTGCCATGCGGTGCCTGCACCATGATATCTGTATCAGCTGCCCTGATCTGCCTGTTACAGGTAAGTCTGTGAGTTGCGCTATCCCCCCACTGTCTCCAGAGCTTGCGGTCCCCCCCCTCCACTGTCCCTGGGCTCACTTGGCTAGCTAAGCCGCCAGCAGAGCCCCGTCTCAGGTGGTGGCACTGGCTGTGACTTAGCTAGCTTCCTTCCCCCACTGTTCACGCCTGCCTTCTCCTGCCTTCTTCCACATGGCCCGTGGCCCCACCATGCTTCCCTGCCTTCCCAGCGGTCCCTGTGGCCAGGTCCATTGCCCACGCTTGCCTAGAGAACCCAGGCAGTCCTCAAACTACATCCTCCCCCCCCCCAGGCCAAAATAATTTACCTGGCCTGTGGTCTGCCGCACTTGGCCAAAGGGCTGTAGATGGGGTCAGTGCAGGTGGGGGTGGCACGAGCACAGGTGGCTGAAGCGGTTTGGGTAAGGCTCTTACCTTACTGTCCCATCTGTAAAGCGCTGCAGCGGAGAAAAGCAGCTGCTGACCCGGAGAGCACATGGAGCTGCTCCACGTAGTCACCAGTGACCTGTTTGCAATTCTCTTCCCTGCTGCTCTTGCTGTGCTGTCTTGTGCAGCGAAGTGAAATTTACAGTAAAATTTATCTTAGCAACCAGGAGTTGCCACTTTGGGTCCCATCCAGAAAATGCTCTGGGTGGCAGAGAGAAACTGCATTCAACCTGGCTGTTTTTCTCTGCCACTCACAGCACTTTCCTGATGGGAGTGAAGTTGAACCCAAAGCTAAATTTTGCTGTTTCTCTCTGCCACCCACAGCTTTTTCTGGACTAAGACTTAACAGGAGGACCCAAAACGGCAACTCCTGGTTGCTAAAGTAAATGTTGCTGTGCTGCATGGGGTGGGGAGGGGAGGGGGGGAGATTTAGAAAACTCATCTTCATAAATGGGAGAAAACAAAGCAACAGGGAAGCAATGTGCCAAATATACAAAAACCAAAAACAATTCCAGACATGTGTGACCCCGGGTGGACGGGCATATATCCATGACCCGTCAAAACCGCGGTCCACAAAAGCGCGATCGACGAAAGCACGCATTTGACGTCATCATAGCGCGACGGAAAAAATTAAAAATTGAAATAACAAAAAAATTAAAGCAAGCCGATTCACATAAAGGTAAGGGTTA